CCCCAAAACCCCAAAACCCCACTACTACTTATATTTCTAATAAAAACAAAAGAATTATTTAAAGAAATTAAATTGCTTATTAAGAGAAATGTGATAAATAAAGAACAGAGGGTTTCAGGTGCTTTCTTCTGAAAATCTTCTCTTAATAATCTATAGTAGGGAAGTGTGAAAAATTGTTTGCTTACATTCTTTAGGGACTTCTTGCATCTATGAGATTGCTGAGACTTTTAGCTGCTGCTGATTTCACTCAACGAATCAGAGCTATCCTTTCTTTGTTCTTTGCTAAAATTGACAATGTGAAAATCTAATGTTATAATTACATTTTGAGTTTAACTTATTTAAATTGATCAGTAGTGGTATTTGGTCTCTACTTATTGAGATTAACATCCTTTGTCGATTAAGATGAACTGCTATCCGATAAAACTCCTTTATCATTATTAACTGAAGATCTAATTTCCCCTTTTTCAGTCTTTCCTTTCTTACTCAACTAATAGGACTACATATCAAATTCAAGTCTCTTTTCCTTAGCATTTTCAATCCATCTCTAAATAAAATATTTAAATCTACTCTATGAATTATACTTTCTTCTGGCTTTCATTCATTTTACTCCATTCATCACCTATTAACTTCGAACTTTCCATGAGTCCCATCTCTAAAATTAGTTGTAAAAATAAATTCAGAAAATACTACATGAGTTGTCTTTCTTTAGTTGCTCCCTTCTAAATTTGCAAAAAAGTTGATAAGCAGTTGGTGGCTTTTTATTTTGCTCTTTTGGCTTTTTTGGAGTGCGTGTGCAATTTTGCTTTTTCTAATTTAGCACAATAGTCTACTTTATTTTTGGTTTGTCAACAGTAGAGCACCCACCTCGCTTATTTTTGGCTTTCTTTTCTCTTTTCTTCTCTTATTCTTCTTCTGGATTTTAGATACTAGATGAAGTCTACTATGGAGGTATTACAATTATTTTGGATAGGTCTTTAAGGAATTTCGATGTCAAAATTAAAGCATCTTTTAGCTAAATGAATATAGTTATGATCGATAATCTTACTCTTTTGGAATTATCACTTGACATTTGGTTAAATTTAATTATTATTATTTCTAAATCTGATTTCTGAGTTATATTTATCATGCGGGGTTTTGGGGTTTTGGGG